GATCAATGCAAAGTGGACAGGATCATAATTGATGTGGGGGATGGGGGCGGGACTCTGGGGGTCCTCCCCCTGAAAATTTTGAATAAAGAAGATGTGATTTCCTGCATTTTGGTGTATTTTAACAGGTTAAACAGCTACATTTGTCTACATTTGTAAACACTCCGTTTCTGTCAAGCTCCCCCCTTACTTGACGGAACTATCAAGTAAGTTGGGCTCGGGATCGAGCCTGACTCTGTCCCTGCTCATTTTTGTCCGACACCACATGTGAAACCTCCAGGCACCTGCCTGCGGCTGTGAGCTCCTGCCCGCGTACGACTGCCTGCTCAGCACTTTACTGTTTTAGGGGCAGAGATTCCTTTAAGGGTAGACACAGAAATGCTTCACTTGAAGAGGCAGATCGTATTCATTCAACCTTTATTTATGTTGCTGTGTTTAAAATTAGTGCTCATGCGATTAATTTCATTTTACATATCCAGTATAAGTTTTATTCATTCAAGGCAGTCACATTTGTTCATAACTTTATTATTAGTAAGGCTGAGGGTTACCATATCCAAGCCGGATCCTAGCAAACAGTTACTGGAAGCATCCTGTCAAAATAGAAGCGTTCCCAGATTTTGTTCTGGCAGGATCCGGCTCAGATTAGGCCCTGGTTTAATCATTTTTCTGAAGATCTTTCACGAAATCCCTCTGACCGCAAAGTGTCCGCAAAGCAAAACCATGACAATGTTGGAGAAAAAGGGGATGGAGCTCATGCAGGTAAGGGGCGTTTACCTTAGAGACAAATTGAAGTCACTGATTGGTCAGTTGCTGATGAGCCTACTGGACTGATTGACAGGTGGCATAGAAGAGCCGACTCGTGCAAAAAAAAAAATACCCACCATAGATCTTATTGGCCTGTTTGTGTCATCATTTATTCCATATTTATTCCAAATTTATTCAATATTTTGGTGAATCTACGATTTGAGAACCAAGTTTTCTTACTAAAGCATAATGACGGTTTCTTAAATTTTCAGGGGTGTTGAGTTAACATTTAGGAGTGCTTGAGCACCCCCCAAAAGAGGCTAAAATAACCACTGCTTTCAGCTGCTCCCTTTAGAAGTTTCCACAGCTGATCCATATTTGCTTATCCAGCATGCTCCTCTTTTACACCAAACCTTGTAGATCCTCTACATCCACAAACCTTCTCTGTGGGCTTCCTTTCGTCTTCCTCCCTAGCAGTTACATGCCCAATATGTCCACTGTTCCTTCTCTGTTCATGTCCAAAGAATCATCTACTTGTCTCTCTAATTCTGTCTCCAACCTGAGCTGTCTCTCTGATGAACTCATTTCTAATCCTGTTTTTTTGTGATCACTCCCAATGAAAATCCAGCCTCGTTTCCAAGTCAAACACAAAGCACAGATTTGTTTCTAAGACAAATTAAAAACACAGGTTCACACTGGGACTACTGACTGATCATGAGTGTATACTCACCATTTTTGGAGCTGGCCCACAACAGTTGACCACCTTGCAACAGTATGCAGCCAGAGTGACGGAGATAGCCAGCAGAGTAGCCTGGATAAGCACACCACTGGCATAAAAGTGGGAGTGGGTGTTCTGTAAGATGGACCAAAAGCTAACTTACTTTCAAATAATCCTCCAGCTCATACTTCCACCATTGATCACCTGCTGCTGAGAGTGAAATGGTAATAATGTTTTAGGCTGTATTTGTGTTTGTGGTCCCCCATCACAGAGCAATGAGGAGGAGTTGGAAATACTCTCATTTTATCTGGTGGTCTGTGCATGTTGTGAATATGATACTTAAAACATAAGTGGGGTACCAACTTCCATTAAGGTGTGTGGTTACATCTAGGTGTAAGAAAGATTCCTCTTGAAAATTGGGTTGCCAAGTCAAAATCAAAGACTGTCACCATCATATTTGTAAATGGACTGTACTTATATAGCACCTTTCTATCTAATCAAGATACTCAAAGCTCTTTACAGCACAATCTGTGTCCTCATTTACCTCCAACACACATATTCACATGATGCCTCACCATAATATGTAGCAATTATAAGAGATGGAGGAAGAAGGGTGACACTTTTTCCAATGCACTCCACTACATTTGTTATTTTATTTTCACTTGTTAAAGTGGACACCAGCTGGTCAGTTTATTTACCAACAACAACTTAATTAATATAATTAACCTTTTAATAATCAGAACTCAGCCACTGAAGTAGAATTTGTTAATTACAGGGAGTCCCATACCATAACATATGAATATTCATCTGAATGAAAAGACCAAAGTTATCATTGAAATGTTATTACAAAATAATCAAACTAAGAATCAACAACAATGATAAACAATCAAACACCAATTAATTAATCAAGTCTCAATTCTCTTTTATCTAAGGCAAAATCAACTCTTTGAGCAGGGATTATTTTGGTTTTTATAAGTGCACAAATTTAGACAGAGTTTGGCTATTTTAATAAATAGTTTGCTTCGGTATTTGGCTAAAATAAGTTATTTAATGTGATCAGTTAAGTCCTTTATTATCCCTGCAAGACAGGAAATGATTTACCAAATTGCATCAGCTAAAATAGCATAACTAGACCAAGGCTACACAGTTCTCTACTAAAGCTCTACAAAGATAATCTAAATCTGTAGAGACTAATCAGAGCTTTA